AAAGACACAGAAATTGAGGAGTCGCACCAAGGAGTAGCAATCTGCAAGGCCCAAGACTCTCATCAACAATGCAAGAAGCTGGGGCTGGAGAGATGGCTCAGAAGTTAAGAACACTAGCTGTTCTTCCAGAGGACCCTGGTTTGATTCCCACCACCCACATGGCAGCTATGTGTCTGTAACTCCATTCCCAGAGAATTGGATACCTTCTCTGGGCTCTGCAGGCATTTTTTTAGATGTGTATATACATATATATTTTTTTTCAATAAACACAAACATGGAATGGTGAACTGGCGTTCCCAGAATGAAAACAAAAACAACAGCAACAACAAAAAGAAAAACTCCACAGAATTAAGTGATAGATTCCACAAGGCTGGTGTACTAATTAAAACTCCCTACTGTGGAGAGTTGGAATGTTACAGATCCAGAGACAAATTACCTTGAGCTATCTTTAGCTCCCATCTGCTGCCAACATCTGACCTAACATTCTTTCAAAATGTAAACCTTTGCATTGCATTGACTTAGCAGACAGCTAGATGCCTGCTTTGCCCCACATGCTGGTAATCTGTCTAACTGATGTTGCACTCACGTGCCCTGACCTAAGACTTTGTTCGTTCTGTTTGTTCAACTGGAACTTGTCATCCAGGGAAAAGTGAATCCGTGTTCGGGAGCCACGGTGGTCTCTCGTACTCATCTAAGAACAAACCATATATGCTTTGAGGCAAAAGCTGGGTTTTACACTGACGCATCCAAATTACCTTCAAAGGCACTGTCTTAGCTTAGGCTTAAACCTAACTTAGATTTCTATCACTGTGACCAAAACAACTTAGGGAGAAAGGGTTATTTTGCTCACAGTTTCACATAATCAAAGCCATCGTCAAAGGAAGGAGTGTGTCTTCCGGGACTCTGACCAGGTCACATGATGTTCATGTACCCTGGGTACTCTTCCCACCCCTACGCTAAGTATATTAGTCATTTTCCTAACTGCTCTGACAGAATAACTGACAAGAGCCATTTGCTGAAGGAAGGGTTTACCCAGGTCACAGGTCACCAACTAAGGGGACATGATGGCAGTGGGGACATGCAGCACCTGCCACCTTGCATCTGTAGTCAGGAAGTCAAGATACTCAGATCAGTTTCTCCCTTTTATTCAGTCCAGAACCCCAGCCCATTGCGGGGTGCCACCAACATTTAGAGTAGATTTTCCACCTCAATTAACCCAATCCAGAAAGCCCCTCACAGGCAAGCTCAGAGGTCTGTGTTCTAGGTCATCTTAGAGCTTGTCAAGTTGACAGTCAGTGTTAATGATCACAGAATCTGTTTAACACTGACTCTCCCGACACTTTCTCCTGCTGGAGAAATAGCTACCTGAGGTTGAATATTTCTGTCAAGTCCCTTCTCCAAAAACACTTGAATATTATTTCAGCCAATTTTACAAAATCTTATCAAGTTGAAACATATAAACATAAAAAAACAAGGCTTAGAAATCTCAAGTAAGTTACCCAAGGTGGCCAACTGAGCCAGGATTTGAACACAGGTCTTTTGGGTCCAAAGTCTATATTTAGGAACATTAGCCTTTATGAAGTTTTAAAATATATGCCCATAACCATGCTTCCTGACTTTTAGCTGCTATAATACAGTCACTAAAATTCCCCCTTCCGACTTGAAAGCAAAGAGAATTATCAGAAAATAAAGTAGACGGATTTCATCTAGGTTGGACTCTTGGTTTTGGTATATGCCCTGTTTTTGTTTTGTTTCGCCAACTTGACACCATCTTAGAGTTACAAGGGTAAAGGAACCTCCACTGAGAAAAAGCCTCCATCCATTTGCCCATAGGAAAGCCTGTAGGACATTTTCTTGATTAGTAACTGATGTGGGAAGGCCCAGACCACACTGGATGTGGCTACACCTGAGCCTGGGCTTCACAAGAAATACCAATTTAATTACGTCTTTCCTCCCTCAGTTTGTACTGTACAGTTTTGGATTAGTTGCTGACGCTAATCAAATAATTCTTTAATTTGTCTGGCACCCACTAATGCAGAAGAAAAGGCTGGGGAAAAAGAAAAGAAAGAAAGAAGTCACACATGAATGTAAGCTAAAAGCACAGCCAAGCTTTCAGGAGTCAAGGAAAGCCCCCCCCCCCCTTCACCCTATCTCTAGCTAGTGCTGCAGGAGCAGGTTTCTGGGTAGCTACTCTGACAGGAGACGGAATGTGCTTAAAAAAAAACTGCTCAGATTTCACAAAAGGCTAAGACAGTTCATAAAATCGTCTCGTCTACAAACAAAACACTCAAAGTGTTTCTTCAGCTCTGACCCAGTTCTCTTGCCTCCTAGCTCCTGAGCCCTGAAGGCCTCAGGGAAACTTTGCTGCTTTTTCTTTACCCATCTCAACAGCATACATGCTTACTGTTGCAAACAGCTTTATGCTGGAAAGTTCCTTACAGGTATAAAGCTGATTGAGCATTACCTACACTCAGCAGCAGCAGGCCACCACCGCCCGTGTGACACAGGACCAACAGATATGACTCATTACTGACCACAGGGAATGAAAAAGGACAGGAAGGGCAGATACGAGCAGTATACTCAATCTACTCTGTATTTTAAGGACACAGGACACATTTGTAATCTGTGTCATAGAAAGGAATCTGTAGACACACCCTATTCAAGGTTTTCGGTTCTGAGTTAACCCCCGTCTAGGTGACACAGGGAGGTACACAGGACTCAGACACTTAAGAGTGTCTAAATGGAGCTAAACAGAGAACCTGGAATGGAGACATGCGGGCGATAAGGAGAGGTGACAGACACCATAGACTTCAGGGACTAAGAGGGGCAAGACTGTGTCTGGCATGGAAGGCAGCCTCTGTTTCCCCTTCCCTGTAATGCCTCTGGCTGCAGCTGACAGGCGTGAACTCCCCTCCCTCTCAGATCACCGGCTCTCTGCATAAACTACAACTTAAAAGTTCAGGTCCTAGCTAGAGAGATAGGAGATAGAAAGGGGTTGGGGCAGACAAACAGACAGACATAATGAAAGAGAGAAACTGATTTCATAAATTCAGTCTTTATTACCAGATTTACTTACAAAAAAATGTGCTTACACCCTTAATTTACTGAACACTTACTATGTGTCTGACAGGAAAACACCATAACCCAGTTTTGGCTCCTGCCCCAAGGAAGATTGGTGGAAAATCTCTCACACAGAGAATAAATACCACAGACACCAGATAAACCCAGGCAAACACCTGCTGGACTAGAGGGTCTCTTCCCAAGCCACCTGCTCAAATCATACCCTGCTGACCACCCAAAGTCAAAACTTCGGAGCCCACAAAATACTCCAAACATCCTAAGGAAGGAGCCAGGGGCAATGGTTAATCCCAACTCCGTGGCTTTCTTCATTCCAGAAGGCAAGCCCACAGCACAGGCTGGTGGACACACAGCCATGTTTGGTCAATACTCCTTCAGCTAACACTCACTGCCCTAAGGAAGTAGGCAATAAATTCCAGCTGCCACCCTACCACTTCCTGTAAAGTGGAACAAGTCACTTCCTGCATGGGTCACTTCAACCTATCCTAGTCAGATGAAACATACATGGGGGGGCGGCAGTTGGAGGAATTAGTCAGTGTGTTCTGAATGAGTCACATAGTCTCCCTAGGAATCTGTGAGCTTCCCATCTTTTGAAAACACTGGAAACTACTCCACTCCTTTATGAAGTCTCTTTGTAGCCACTCTGCACCTGAGAGTTGGACACAACAATTTATCCTTACTCCAAACAAAACCCCCTGACCTGGAAAAGTCTCGATCTAACTATTGTTATTGCATAACAATAAAATAAAACAAAAAGGAGTTAGGGCTTGCACAATCAAACATGGAAAACTACAGGCACTATAATACAGACCATGAAAGTGCAGAGGAACAGGAGGGCCCACCATAGCAGGGCAACCCCAGGAAGAAGGAAGAGGGCGGGGGGGGGGGGGGGGGGGGGCGGGAGGTGTCTTAGTAAGGCAGTAGCAGTCCCTTGTGAAGTCACAGGAACTATCAGAAAGGCCAGACTGGCCCATCAGAAGAAGAACCCGCACCACCTCACCCAACATGGGTGGAGAAGGGGAGGGAGAGTCAGGAGTAAGCGGCTCTATGGAAGATACCATTAGGACAGGGGACACCGGGAAAGGGATGCCTAGGGCTGGGGAGGATACATCAAGAAGTGGGCCTTTGGGGAACCCGGAAAGGACCCTGAGGAAAGGGGGCGCGGTTCAAGACAGGACTGGTCACTGGGTCAGGAGAAGATAAGATTATGATGAGGAACACTGAGGAATCCCTGCAAGGACCCAGGAGAAAGGGGAGAGGCGCTGGGCTAGACAGGACCATAAGGAAGACTTGGAAGGGCTGGGAGGATAGATCAGGAAGTGGGGAAGGGACAGACTTGGAGGGGGAATACAACCAGAATCTGGGACACTAGCGACAAGGGAGGAGTCAGGAGATGGAGAGGAATACAATCAGGATGGGGACGCTGGCGAAGAGGGAACGCAGTAGCTGGGGGTGGGGGGGGGGAGGGATACAATTAAGATGGAGGACACGGGGTGAGCGGGGAGGAGGCAGAGAAAGGCTGGGTTAATACAATGAGGATGGATACTGGGGGAGAGGTGGGAGCTGGGGTGGGGGTAAGATCAGAGCGGCAGACATTAGGGACAAGGGAGCGGTGTGGGTCAGAATGGAGGCACACTGGAAAAGGAAGGCAAGAGCAGGGGAGGATCATTAGGGAAGGGGAAAGGAACAGGAACGGGGGGGGGGGGGTCACCGAGGAAGAGAGAGAGAGAGGACGAGGGGCTGAAGAAGTGGGCGCGGCCAGCAAGGTTGGAGTTCCCCAGAGCGAGGCTTGGAGAGGGGGTGTTGGCGAAGCGGGTTACCCCCGGAGGGGGGGTGAGCAGGGCCAAACAGGGTACTCGGACCGGGGAGGTCCCAGGAAGGGGTCGCACGCGGGCGCAGGGGGGCACCGCGGGCACAGTCACCTGCGAATGTTCAGGCCGCCAGACAGGGATCAGGCTGAGAGTGCAAGGTCGCCGGCTTCTCCTGCTTCCCCGCTGGACGCGCGAGTCCAGGTCCTGCGTCACCGGCTCGCGCCCACGCGCATGCGCGCGAGGCAGGTGCCACCCGGGTGCAGGGCCGAAGCCAAGGAGTTGCTCTTAACCTGGGCTGTTATCTGCTCAAAGGTGGCTTTAAGTATCTTGATCTTGGCCTCTAAACACAGAGTTTCGTAGACAAATGCGTGATAGCGAGACTGGGGCAAGCCAAGGGCAAGCTGAGCCTGGGACATCTCGGAGCCAGAAATGAAGACCTGCATGCTTAAAAACAGGAAGATGGAGATGTCAAAAATGAAACAGCAAGCAGGGAGCAAAACCGGAAGTCTTAGTAATAACTCACATAGAAATGTTTGGCTTAGAATATAAAATATAACGATTAAAAAAAAAATGAGGAAGGAGCCGGGGGTGTTAGTACAGGACTATAATCTCAGAACTGAGGAGGCTGAGTCAGGAGGATAACAAGTTTGAGGCCGGCCTGGGCTACATACCACGGTCTCAAAACTAGAAAACAGTTAGCATGGTGGTACACAACTGTAATCTCAGCACTTGAGAGATGTGGAAAGAAGATACGAAGTAGGATCAAGGTTATCGTTGGCTGCTTAGTGAGCTAAGGCCCGTCTAGGAATTCACGAGATCCAGTTTCAAAGTTAAAAAAAAAACCCTACTTGAATTATAGTGCCTTGTGTATCTCACTGTTTTTTTTTTCTAGGTTCTTAGTGTCTCAGACAATGAATTGGACAAGACACAGAATAGAAGTCGTCAAAGTGTACATTTGTTTTTAAAAATGCATGGACTACACTCCCTAGAATGGGAACAACCTGAGCAAGCATAAGACCCAAGACCCCCATGACCTTTTGGAGGGATTGTTTTATGAGTTTAATGAAAGAGCAAATGCCCTGGGTAGAAATTAGGTTTACCCTGATTGATGGATTGAAATTACCCTTTACCCTGATTGACGGATGGGTTGTTAGGTAGCATTGGACCATCTTTGAGTTGGTGGGTCATACATCCTATAGTTTTGTGCATGTGCCCCCTCACGTTTATACCTGAAACAGTAAACAAATTTCCGTTAATATTTCACTTCAAAAAAAAAATGTACCCTCATAATACGTATACCCAATGCTGGTTTTAGATGGACTTGTGTATCTGCCTTATCTATGCTTCTACCAGGTAATGCCTAATCTCAAACTACCTACAGGAGAGATGGGTGTTGCCTCATGGTAAGGAGACCCAAGGGTCTGTCTGTCTGTCTGTCTGTCTGTCTGAGAGGGAGTATGTGTACATAATGCAAGTTCCTACTGAGGCCAGAGATGCCCTTAAGAGCAGCCAGTACTCTTAATTGCTAGATATCTCTCCAGCTCCCAAAATTTTCTTTAATGAATATATACAAAGGTGATACATACACACATACATACCATACATACCTTAAATAATAAGAAAAAGTTGTTATATTTGAATATAGTTTAAGTTAAATATGTTTTCCAGCAACTAGTGAAGATGCTTAAGTATCTGCTTGTAAGTTTGCTGGCTTAGTGAAATTGGCTTTGTGTCCTAACTCCCTGTCAAGAAGGAAGAAGAAGACCCACTATACAAGAGTGAAAACATTCTCAGAAGGCCCACTGTGTGTGTGAGCACCTCAGAAGGCCCACTGTCCTCAGGCCTACTGTGTGTTAGCACTTATAGAAGGCCCATTGTGTGTGTGAGCACCTGTCCTCAGAAGGCCCACTGTCCTCAGGCCTACTATGTGTGAGCACTTATAGAAATCCCACTATGCGTAAGTTGAGCACATGTTCTCAGAAGGCCCACTGTGTGTGAGTGAGCACACATCCTCAGAAGGCCCACTGTGTGTGAGTGAGCACCCACTCTAGCCCACATGAGTCTGTGCTGAAAGTTTAGTTCCTGGTCTAAGCCCAATAGGGCACACTGAGGGGCCATTCCAGGGTGTCATACTTACTCACCTGTGTTCTGTGGCCTTCAGTTCAGTCAAATTACTTTGTGACTAGTCCCACTTTCTTTCTTTCTTTCTTTCTTTCTTTCTTTCTTTCTTTCTTTCTTTCTTTTTTTTGTTTTTTTTTTGTTTTTTTCAGACAGGGTTTCTCTGTGTAGCCCTGGCTCTCCTGGAACTCACTCTGTAGACCAACTAGTCTCACTTTCTTGTTTACCTCAATTATTACTTTGAAAAAGAAGTGGAGTGGGTCATGGTGGTGAGCACCTATGGTCTCAGTACCTAGAAGGTGGCGGTAAGAAGATCTAGAGTCTGGGGCCAGCCTGGACTACAGGAAGGGACAAGAGATAGAACCCTGCACTCAACTCAACATGCTAAACCAAACTAGAATTTTACTTCCTCAAAAACTATGCCAGCTGAAGGCCTGTGAGACGGCTCAACGGATAAAGTGCGTGGTGAGTATACCTGAAGGCTGGAGTTGGGGGTCCCTGAGCCATGTCAAGGTCAGAGAAGGGAAAGAACTCCACAGAGCTGTCCTCTTGTGTGCGCCTTCACATCATAACTGCACACATAGTAATAATAATCAATAATTAATAATACACCTTTGCCTCTAGCTAAATTGTTGATAGAAAAACATATTTTTCTATTAGGCCTTTCTAAAACAAATGAACGGACTAAGGAAACATTGAAATGCTTTTTAAAAAGTGAGCAATGAATTCCTAAGTAAGTCATCAACAGAAGAGAAAGGGTTCATGCAGCCAACATCCTACAAATAAATACAATCTAAAAATACAATTACATTAAAATGAGTGGAATGTAGATTTTCAGTTAAAAAAGCATCAACGATAATTAGCAACAACTCAATGTGTAGGACGTGAGATAAACCAATGACTAGAAATGGATGTTTGTACATCCATAAGTTGGTCTGACTCTTGATAATATGGGGAAAGCTTTAAATTAGTTCATCTCAGCCAGGCGGTGGTAGCACACGCCTTTAATCCCAGCACTTGGGAGGCAGAGACAGGCGGATTTCTGAGTTCGAGGCCAGCCTGGTCTTCAGAGTGAGTTCCAGGACAGCCAGGGGTACACAGAGAAACCCTGTCTCAATAAAAAAAAATTAAAAATAAAAAAATAAAAAAAATAAATTAGTTCATCTCAACCAAGCATAGTGACCCACACTGATACTCCTGCTTCAGAAGGTGGAGGCAGGAAGATCAGGAGTTCAAGGCCAGCCTGGCCTCCATGATACCCACACAATCAAAGAAACAAACCTACAACTCCATCTCTTTGATCCACTTATCTGGGCTGAAGGAGATAGCTCGGAGATTGAGTGGGTATTGGTCTTCTAGGGGAGCTGAGTTCAGTCCCCGGTGCCCAGTTCATAACTTCTTTATACTCCAGGTACAGGAGATTTGACATTCTCTTCTTGAGGGTGCCCGCACTAATGTAAGCATGAACCTCCCCACTCCTCCTCCACACTCATACACACGCACAAATAATTAAAACTAGAAAAATGAGTGCTTTGGTTTTGAGATAACGATCCTCAGTACATGAAGACTCCATTCAAAGATTGTTTGCAAGGTTGTATATTGTGCACGTAATAAATGGAAATCAAAAAAGCCATAGATATGATGTAAACTTAACTAATTAGGAAGATTGTTGAAGTCCGTAGCAAGCATGACACATACATGAAGTTATCAGAGCTCACAGCTTATTGAGGGTAGTGAAGCTACCCTCAAAGTACAGACACTTTGAAGAGCTTTTCCCCTTCATTATAAGGACTGTGGGGAGGGGAGGGAGCATGCATACTACAACACACGTTTACATGTCAGAGGACAAGATTCAGAGGTCAATTCTCATCTTATCTTACACTGTAGGTTCTGAGGATTTGACTAAAGTTTTTAGGCTTGTTCAGTGAGTCCTTTTAACAGCTGAGCTGTCTTATCAGCCCTAGACTATGGTTTTTAATAATGGCTGTGCTTGGGAAATGGCTTCCTAAATTCCTGGAGATTTACTGTCAAGCTATTACATATCCATGAACTCATTTGCCTGTCTCCCAGTGATGGGTGCACTGGTGCCATGTTTCAGGGCTATAATCAGCAAATTTTTATGGAAGTTTCATACAAGTCTCTGCATGATTCTATTCTCTGTGGTACAATTTGTAGGACTGCACGTTTAGTTTTGTAAGAGACAGCCAGACCCTTTTCTGAAGGGATTATGATACTTTCTGTGTTTCCAGGGGAAAAAATGAAATTTTTATTTTTCTGTAAAGAAAGCCTTCATGAATATTATGTTTCTCCTGAATCCCCCAACCTGCTCAGGTCCCACTCCATCCCAGCCTCACCACGGGCAGTTGGTGCTATTTGTTTTTGAATGCTTTTTAAATTACACAATATGTTTTTTTTTTAATTACATGTATTTCTCCTTCTTTGCACAGTGTTCTTCAGCACAGTCCTATCTCCCCATGTTGATATGTGGAAAGGCTTCTTGTTTCTTCTCTTTGCTTTCTTTTGTGTTTCAGTTAGAATTTTTACCTTGTAGATCGAACCGTTCCCGTAGTAAAGAGACGCTAGGGTTGTTTGTGCTGGCTGGATGAGATTGTCAGACTAGGGAAAGGATTCGCTGAGACAGAAGGTGGCAGAACTGGGAGTGTATAAGACAGAGGATGCTGTGTCCCTGGAGGCATTCTATGGGACTACTTTGACAGGGAAACAGGGTTCTGTGCAGGCAGTCAGGTAGTGTCTCTGTGTCATGGTGCTCCAACTCTTAGATCTTATCAGTTAGAAAACCTGTGTGCGGAAGCTCTCTCAGTGTGGTGGTGGAAATGGAAATGTCCCTCAGGCTCAGGTATTTCACTCGATTCCTTGGTGACACCAAAGGTTATGGAACATTTAGGAGAGTCAGCCTGGCTGGAGGAACTCGGTCACTGGGGGCTGGCTCTGAGTGTTTACAGCCTGACCCCGCTTTCAGCTCACCCTCTCTCTTTTGTGTTTCCAGTTGGAGATGTGATCTCTCAGCTTCCTGCTCAGGCCACCAGATGCCATATCCTGCCACCAGTGCCCATATTACAGACTCTAGCCTTCTGGAACTGTAAGCCCAAGTAAGTTCTTCCACAAGCTGCTTATAGTTGTGTTTTATCACAGGAACAAAAAGCCATGGATAATTTACTTTACTTCCCCACTGCTATGAGAAAACACGGCAGCAAAGCCAGGTGTAGTGGTGCAGGCCTTTGGACACTTGGGAAGCAGACACAGGCAGATTTCTGTTCGTCCAAGGCCAACCTGGTGTACAGAGGGAGTTCCAGGCTAGACAGGGCTACATAGTACAACCTTGCCTCAAAATATCAACAAAACAAACAAATTCTAACTAAAGCAATTTCAAGGAGAATGAGTTGGCATGGCTCACAGTTCCAGGTGATAGCCCATCATGGCAGGGCTATCACAGCACAAGAACTTGAAGGAATTGGTCACATTGTACCCACAATTAAGAATCAAAGATGGAAGGATGTGTGCTGATGTTAAGTTCCCTTTATTCATTTTATACAGTGCAGTCCTGACATAAGGCATGATCCCATCCACAATTAAAGTGGGTTTACCCATCAATTAACAAGCTCAAGATAATTTCCTCCAGAGGCATACCAAGGGGCCCATTTCCTTAGTGACTCTAGAATCTGTCAGGTTGACAATTCACACTATCACAGAGTCGTATCTAGATGACTGGAGGTGCAGTTCATCATTTGGTGAAGGAATACATTTTACAGTATGATTTGTTTTTTCCTTGGGATTGACTTTGTAAAGACCTCATGCGTTATAAGGAGTCAAATGACCCTGTTGCCTAAAGTGTAGATTCTTCTACAGTAGTGTCATGATGGCCTAAGACAGATTAGAATGTGTTAAGGAGAACTCTTTCACACCATACTTGGAATGAGCAGCAGCCTTGCTCAGATCATATCCTGCCCTGGGGTGATAACAGCTCCATCCTTAGGCTAGAAAAGGTCAGCACAGCCGTCTGTCCCTGATCCCAGAATAGCATCTGGAGGGAGCTTCCTGTATCATACTGTTAGAAAGAAAGCTCTCTGGAATGAGTATATACTTGTTTCATTTTATAAGTGTGTGATTGCTATTCTTGGCTGTCAACTTGACTACATCTGAAATTAACTAAAACCCAAAAACGGAGGCATTTTTGCTCAATTTTAAGTAGGAAGATCAATTGGCCTTTACTATGAATCTTAAGGCAGGAAGACACCCCTATAATCTGGGCCACGTCTTCATCTGGAAGCCTATATAAGGACATGGAAGAAGGAAGCTTTTGCCCTTCGCCTGCTTGTTCTTGCCTCACGAGCAAGTCTACTCTTTCACTGGCATTAGAACCTACTTCTTCAGGACTCTAGTCTGTACTGAAGACCAGCTGAGACATCCAGCTTCCTGGACTGAACACTACTAAGTTCTTGGACCTTCAGTTCACAGGCAGCCATTGCTGGATTAGTTGGACCTCATTCTGTAAGTCATTCTAATAAATCCCCTTTTTAAATAATATAGAGATTCGTTCTAAAAATTCTGTTGCTCACAGAGAACCCTGGCTAGTATAAAGTTATCTGTATGGATAAGCCTTCAGAAACGGAGTTGTTGGGCTAAAAGCTTTGTGTCTTTGTGTGCGTTGATTCTGATACACATCTCAGATGGTCCTCTCACCAAATGAACCAGTGGGTGTCCAATTCCTGAGGCTTCACCAATAGAGGATATTGCCTTTTTTTAAAATGCTTCCCAGTCAATGGTAAAAATGCCACCTTAAGGTTTGTTTGCTTGAGGTTTTGTTTTGTTGCTTTTCTTTTTGAAACAGAATCTTGTTGGCCTCAAACTTAGAACTCACCATGGAGGCCAGACAGCTTCAAGCTTGAGGCACTCCTTGTATCTCTGCCTCCGAAGTTCTGTGTCTTAAAGTTTTAACCTGAATTTTCTTTTGTAGAGATAAGGTTGACTTTTTTTTTCCACATTATTGAGACCTATTTGTATGTTCTTAGCCATAAACTCCACTCATATCTCTACTGACTATTGGAACTGGTTCTTATTGGCCTCTGGCAGGTCTCAGAATACTAACAAGATTAACCTTTTGCGGTGTTTCATTCTTAATCAAGTGCCTTTTAGTTTTGCTTAAGGTGGTTTCTCCAAAACATTTATAAAAAATTTAATGGAGTCTGTTCTCTTTCACTAGTGGGCTCTGGGGATCCCCAGGCTTCAATGTAAAGCTTTTTTACCTGCTACTTCACTTCCCCGCCCTCCAGCCAATGTTTCTCATAGGCATTGTTTATGGTTTTTGAGAAATTCTTTATTCCATATTTAAAAAGAAATTTCCCCCATGTTCTCTTCTTTTTGTTTCTACAGCTAAAAATGTATGCCTTTTTTTAAAATTTAGAATCTATTCTGGTACATGAATTATAGATACAATTTATACTGCTTATGCTGGTTAAATTTTGGCCCCCGTACCATTTATTTAAGGATTCGTTTTTATCCTTAGCTAGCCAGCTATGTTTGTTGTGGAAAAAACTGGTGGGAAAAGCCAGGTATGGTGGCAGGTCTTTAATCCCAGCACTTGAGAGGCAGAGGCAGGCAGACCTCCAAACCTGTGTCAGAGCCTACATAGCGTCAGCTGTCAGGTTAGCAGCCAAGACATCAACATGTATATTTTTCTGAACCTTTAAAGTCCAAATAATAACACCTAGTGATATGAAGTACTTTATCAAATACCAACTTCTACCAATTGTTTTAGTGTCCTTCTGGATTTTTCTATTACATTCCATTGGTTCATTATCTGTGCACTAGTTGGCATATCGTCTGCAGCCTTTAAATATGGTTTCATATCTGGTAGGACGTTTAATAGCCCCTTCTTTACTATTTTCTACTCTGTGAAGCCAGTGTGGTTTGGGGTTTGCTCTAAGTGCTTGGTAGGTCCTAGCTCTGTGACAGATGCAAGCTTATGAGAGTGAAAATCTTGTGGTGGCCTTGGAGCTAAAGATCAAAAAGAAAAGGGGGTGGAGAGACGCCTCAGTGATTTTTTTTTCTTCCCTAGACAGAGTTGTTCTGTATAGCCTTGGCTGTCCTGATATCGATCTTTAGACCAAGCTGGCCTCTAACTTAGAGACACCCCCCCACCCCCCGCCTCTGAAATGTTGGGATTAAAGGCTGCGTTTGCTGCTTACTCTTCTAGAGCACGCGAGTTCAATTCACATGATGGTTCGTAAACATCTGTAACTCCCTCTTCTGACCTCTGCAGGAGTTAAGCAGGTACATGGCAGTGGGCAAACAATACATGCAGGTGAAGCACTCACTCACACACAAAATGAATACATCTTTTTAAAGGGGAGTGGGGAGTCCCAGAGATGACGCAGAGCAGTTTCCAGCACCATCCCACGTAGGAAAGGTCGAACCTCTCTGTAACATGCTAGCACTCTTATGAGCAAACCCTCACACAGCTACACACACGCACATTAAAATTAAAATCTTGGGACTATGCACGGTAGCTGTTGCTTCAAGGCCAGTACTCCGGAGGCAGAGGCAGGTAGTACTCTAGATCTGTAAATTCAAGGCCATCCTGGTCCAAAACAAAACAACAAAACGGGAAATGCTAAAAAAAAAAAAAGACCTGGAAAAGGAATTATTGAACATAATGCGAACCGGAGTACATTTCCTTCCGAGGTTACTACGGGCCATAGCTACGTTCTTCAACGCTGTTTCCAACCGAGTTTCAGCCGGAGCTTGTGCGGAGGATCGCAGCCTAGGCGCGCGTCCCAGCATCCGGGCATTTCGCGCAAGCCTCTCGGGGCGCGCGCGCGCGGGCGCCCAGCTGCGTCACGTGCCCGGCGCGCCCCCGGCTGGCGCGCGGCGGGCGGAAGTGAGGTTGTGAGCTGCGGTGTCTGCGCAGCATCGGCGGTAGAGGGGGCCGCGGCGAGGCGGGCGGGAGGCAGCGCGGGCCTAGCGGTGGGCCGCAGCCGAACGTCGTCTGGGCACTGTCCGTCGTCGAGCCACACGCCGTGCCGGCTCGGGCCGGCGCGCGCCGGTCCCGGAGGCGCAGGCCACCGTGAGTACGGGAAGCATGGGGGCGGCGGCTCGGGGCGGGCGCGGGCCGGAAGTGCGGCGCTTTGTGCAGCGCCTGGTCGGGCCGCGCGGGGAGCAGGGGCGCCGCTTTGTCCGCGGCGGGCCGGGGGGGCGGGGCGGGAAGGTCGCCGGCCGTCGGGGACACTGGCCGCCTCACACCCGGCGATCCCTCTTTCGCAGGAAAACGTAGGCTTCGGAGGCTACCTTAGCAAGGGAGGGACGTTCCGGGGCATGGCCCAGGTTCATTTGAAAAAAAGAGAAGGACGTCCTACTAGCGCGTCTGCGGCTGGTTGTTCTCCCGTGGTATCTCTTGCATTGTCTGAACTGATTGTTTTAATTACTCACGTAAACATCTTGGGAGTGTTCTGCGTGCAAGGAGGTTTGCTAGTGAAAAGGTTCACACGTGTGCATACACACCTTAAAATTAAAAAAAAAAAAACAAAAGGAAGGAAAAAGAAAAGGTTTGGGTAGTTCCTACGCCTTAAACTCTCCACTTCGCCTTGTGAAAAATGAGATTACTTTCTGTAGTATGGCAAGATTTTAAATTAGAGTAGTTCTGGTGCAAGCAGTCAGACAGACGGCCTTTGAAACTTCGGTAGGTCAAGGGCTAATGAGTGGTTTTGGCTTTGACAGCCAAGATTTGAGAAATCTAGGCCACCTTTCCTAATGCCGAAGCTACCGTGGTGGACGTCGTTGAAGGTCTTGCTTTCTTTAGTCTTTGTATAAAGCAGGAGCATTTTTGGTAGTGTCTGTAGTTTACGTGTGCAGCATTTTTGGAATGTTTTGACATGCAAGAAAACCTTTAAGGGTGTTAAAATTAATTGCAAGTGAAAGTTAAGGTCTAGTAGACGGATGCTTCAGGATTTTCAGTTGCTTGCCTCTGCATTCACCTAGGAGGTGATTGAGAAGCAGTTGATAGAATTGCCTCCCTCCTGACCTCCTGCCCCTAAAAGTGGAAGCGACCTTCTGTATAAGGCCAGTGTCTGGAACCCAGAAGGGAGGAGGAAACCATTGTTATTACTGCCTTTTTACCAGTCTCAGATTGATTTGTGCTAGCTTCACACTTGCCTTTCAGACCATTTTAGCGTTAGAGTTGAGAAGAAAAAAAGTGCATTTTAAAGATAATTTTCGAAGGTTTTATGGTTTAAGGGAGTTATCTTCCTAACTTGTCTTACAGATGGTTAGTTTTAATAGACCAGTTCAGGACAGTTTCAAAGCATGAGTGTATCAGTGTATCAGTAGTGATACCTGCTTCTGTGTTCTGTAGTTTTGTTTGTTTGTTTGAGATCTGACTGTTCTTTAAAGAAATATGTGAAGTTGTCCTGGAAGCTTGCAAACAGTGAATGCCGAGTTTGGACTGGAGAGTTTTCTTGCAAGGTATACTCTCCTTGCTATCAAACATAACTAAAACTTTCCAATACTGATATTTTTTTAATCAACCTGTAAATTTTTATAATCAATCTGTAAAGTATTTAAGCATCTATCTCTGGTATAGAGACAGTTAAAGCACCCTGAAATTAGTGTTGTTGATATGAAGCACTGAACTATAAAATGTTTCAATTACCACTTCATCTAAACACTAGTGTTTATGTTTTAAAACTCAAACTATGGGCTGAAGCAATGGCTTAACAATTGAGGGTGCTTCCTGGGCATGCAGAGGACTCCAGTTCTTTTTCCAGCACCTGTTTTAGGCAGCTCACAACTACCTGTAACTCCAGGTCCAAAGGATCTGACATACTCTTTAACCTTCACGGACACACACACACACACACACACACAGAGCATTTACTCAGAGGGCACAAACATAAACAATAAAAATCTATCTTGAAAGCTTTAATTGGGAGGATCTATTTTGTAATTATGCCTTTTTCTATCCTGGATCGGAGGACTGAACCCGGGGCCTTAAGTACTCTACCACTGAGCTAAATCCCTAACCTCATTAAACACAAATTCTAAAAAAAAAAAAAAAAAACCCTCTCATTTTAACGATGTGCTTGTGATGGTTGCTGACTGTTGATGTTGAGGAATTCTGCAGTCTTCTTACAGGTATGGTTGGGGTGTTTTGTTCTGATTCAGGCATCAAACCATCCGTAGCATTCCCACAGAATCCTCGGAACTCTGAGAATCCTCGGAACTCTGAGCCTGCATTTGGTGTGGGTACTTCTCAGAGTAAGGATTGTCCACCCTAGCTAACAGACATTTGTCCTTGAGAATGCCGCTCCTCTGGGGTTTGTGTGGTTTGCTCCCTAGTCTGATTCCATTTGTCCCTCAGACTCCTTGACTTTCCTGTTACTGGACATTAGGTGCTGGCTCCATTTCACACTTGGAGCAGTGTGTCTTGGCTGGTACCTAGTAACAGACTCCTGCCATGTGAGGGTACAGATAATGTCAGGAGGTAGTTTGATGCAGTGATAGGTATATGTTTCACATCTGCTAATCAGGTATGCTTTGATCATTCTAAGTTAGTCTTTAAATGGCTTAAGTTAAATTTTGTTATTGGGCTCACAGTCTTTGAAGGGAATCTCAGCATTGAATAAATAATTCAAGGAGGGGTTTTGTATTTGGACACAGAACTGATGGTGTCACAGGTTTCCTTTCAGCACACTAAGATAGTTTACCAGATTGAAAGGAGAACTGTACTGTTTTCTTTTATCAGTCTTACACTGTTTTTACCTGCCTCTTCTGGCACTGAGGTGGAACCTAGCGTTTCAAACATGCTAGACAGGTAGTTGCATTGCTTCTTAGTTGTATAGTCCCAGCTTGCACTTCTTAATTCTTTAAGACTTGTTAATCATGTTAGGGACCATGTATCATTAGCCTCTGGAGTAGTCTGATTTCCCCAAAGGCTGCCTGTCCTTTCTTGGCTCTGGCAGTGCTAGCATGGTTCTCTTTATTGCTGCTCCTCTCTTTGGAGGAGCTCCACCAAAGCTCACTCTCTGATCTCAAAGCACCCATTTCTCTTTTGGCCCTTACCATGCTTTGTCTCCAACCAGCATTAATCATGATTTTTCTTACTCCTTATAGTAGCTATAATCTACATGTTAAGTGAAACAAAAAACTCACTGTCTTAGTTAGGTTTCCATTGCTATGAAGAGACACCATGGCCAAAACAACTCTTCTTATAAAGGACAACATTTTATTGGGGTTGGCTTATAGGTTCAGAGGTTCAGTCCATTATCATCATGGTGGGGAGCATGGCAGCATGCAGACAGACACAGTGCTGGAGAAGAAGCTGAGAGTTCCACATCTTGATCCACAGGCAGCAGAAGGGACTGTGTCACACTGGCAGACCTCGAACATATATGACCACAAAACGGGCTTCCATAGTGACATACTTCCTCTAACAAGGCTGTACCACTTACTAGTGCCACTCCCTGTGCCAAGCATTCAAACACATAAATCAGTGGAAGCCATTCCTCTTCAAACTACAGTACTCATTGACCATACTTGGATAGCGAAGCGAAGGTCTGTGTTTTTACTTTTAGAAAAAGTATTGGATTGAACTTTTTCTAGTCTGTGAACTTAGAAGGGAACCTTGACTTGCCCTTGTTTTCTCTGTAGCCTTTACATGGCACTGTGCTTGTCTTAAGCTTAATTAACACAGGAAATCCACTGATAGATCCCAGAGTAGAGAACTAGTTTGGAAAGAATTTACTTCTTGGGAGATGACAGTTGAAACAGAGTCACTGTGTACTTCAGAGGAATGAGGATTGGCAGTTGACAGTTCCTGTGTTCTTGGAGTGTGACAAAGCACAGGTGCCTCTGCTTCTGGTGTGCCTTTGACCCTTGTTTTCTTCATTCACAGCCCTGTACTGTTCAGTACCTGTGAACTCATGGTGGTTGTGAAGTTGTGATTCTCTTGTCTCTACCTCCCAATATAGGGGTAGGCCACTAGACCCAGATATAGGTACACACACATATTTATATATAAAATATATATCATATACTATGTTATATAATAATGTGTGTATATAATATGTTTTATAAAGATAACATATTTATATATAAATATATTGTATATTTTGTTTATATGTTACATATTTGTATATATAAAGTGTGTAATACATATAATATGTATATGCATGTATACATACACATGTATGTGTGTGTATGTGTCTCTGTGTGTGTGTGTATCTGTCTATATAATTTTTTTGAGACAGTTTCTCTATAGCCCTGACTGCCCTGGAACTGATTGCTCTGTAGCCCAGACTGGCCTTGAACTTGGAGATTTACCTTCCTCTGCTTCCTGTGTGCTGAGATTAAGGACATGCATCACCACTGCCCGGCTTTTATATTTGCTTTTTTTAAAAGAGCAATTTTGAGATCTGGGGAGATATCGCAGTGATCTACACAGTGATGTAGCGTTTCTTGCTCTTGAAGGGACCCAAGTTTGGGTCCCAGCATCTACAGCAAGTTCCTGACCACCCCTGTCTGTAACTCCAGCTTCAGGGCATCCAACACCCTCTCTGCCCTCCATACTGCAGTACTGTGCCCTACTTTTCACATTATTATGAATTTTGTGTGTTTATTGAGACAGGCTCTTACACAAGCCTAGACTAATGTTGAACTTGTGGCAGTTCTCCTGCCTCAGACTCATGAAGGCTGGGATTACAGATATGAGCTATTATGCTAATCTCCTCTTTTCTTTCGTTGTGGGCGATTGAATCCAGTGCCTTGCACATTCTAGATTTTCACTAAGAAAGACTCAGACTCTTCAAATACTTTTAAAACAATTGCATGAAAATTCATATTCTGGATATGTTTTCATTTAGTTCTTTGTTACAAGGACATTGAGGTTAATTGTAGAATTTTTGACATTTTAGGTAGGGATGTGATAGATATTGTTTGCCTTAGTCCTGATGGATTGAAGTGAGTTATAAAGAAAAGACTACTGGGTCCTGATTTGGCTTGATACTGTGGTTATGGGGACATTCGTATTTATTTTCTGTTCTCTCTTGGTTGGGAGCAGCAAAAAAATAGTAGACTAGAATAACATTTGCTGCCTGCTCTTTTGAGACTAATGGAGAAAATTCTGGAAGCAAGAACTTGGGTAAATCACCCTTTTTTTTCCTCCCCTTTTAGTTCTTGAAATCATGAATCCTGTTTATAGCCCTGGATCTTCTGGGGTTCCCTATGCAAATGCCAAAGGAATTGGATATCCAGGTAAGCAAGTTGAATTTTGTTTTCATTATAGAATGTGAGTACTTTTTATATCTATGTAGCATAAATAGTTACAGTAGACATGGACTAGTTTTATGTAAGTCAGATGCAAGCTGGAGTCATTTGTGAGGTGGAATCCTCAGTTGCAAAAATGCTCACACCAGATTACCTGTGGGGCATTTTCTTGATTAATGATTATTGTGGATAGTGTCACTCCTGGTCCTGGACTGCATGGGCAAGCAAGGTGAGCAAGCCCTGGGAAAGAAGCAAAGCAGGAAACAGTGTGCTCCCGTGGCTTTTGCATTGGTTCCTGCCTCTCGGTTCCTGCTCTGACCCTTCAAGCTAGACTGTAAGCACTGAGATGAAAGCCTTTCCTCCTCGAAGTTGCAGATGAAAACTGCTTTAGTGATAAGAGCACCTGTTCTTGAAGTATTAACACTAGTTAATGGAGTAGCTGAATGCATCTTGAGTCAGGACAATAGCCAAAGCCCTGTGATATTAGTTTACCTGTCAGTCTTGATAAAGATTTGGATTCTCTGACAGATCCTTGATATGTCTGGTCTGGCCCTTTGCTTCTCACGTACTGACCAGTCCTGACTCAAAAGAACTTTAGTATAAACCATTATTTTAGTTAGGGTTTTTGCGTGTGTGTGTGTGTGTGTGTGTGTGTGTGTGTGTGTGTGTGAGAGAGAGGGAGAGAGGGAGAGAGAGAGAGAGATCACTTCAGAGAAAGCTTCTGTAACTCAAGCAGCTTTGAGTATCATCTCACAGTGTTTGTGCTTTTACTTATCTTGTATGATTGGCAGGGCAGGTATTTACAGTCTCTCTGATGGATACAACGGTTGGGGAAGTCCTAGGAGGTAGGTAGTCGGATAGATGCATTGTGTGCCTATGGAATCTTGGGCCAGCTTGACTTCAGTGCAAAGGCTCATGGGACATGGAGGGAATTCTTCCCCCAAATGCTATCTTGTGTAATAATTATTGTTCTTACTGTTTGTTATTGTTTGTTGTTTTTGGTGTATTTATTTTTAACTATTTTATGTGTTGGAGTTTTGCCTGCATGTATGTGTACCATGTGCATGTCTGGTGCCTATAGAAGTCAGAAATGGAAGGTTCCTTGGAACTATGATTAGGGGCAGCTATGGGCCACCATGTGGGTGCGAGGAATTGAACTTGAGTCATCTGCAAGAGTACTCTTAACCACCGAGCCGGATCTTCAGCTCATTTCCTTATTTATAACACCTGGTTTTGCTCACATCCATTTATTCCTTGTCTGTTGTCTTTTTAAATGAGTTATTGTACTTATTGTGTGTGTTACTGTGTATGCTGTGGTGTACATGGGTGCTATTCGGTGGACACTCAGACTTTAAAGATAAACCTGTATTGTTCCTGGTTTCTATCGGAGTAGTTTTTGCTGTGACTATACCTCTATAGCTGTTTTTCCCCTCTGTCTTCTGTTGTCTTTAAAATACTGTTTTTTCAAATTTGTTTGTTTTGCCATGCTGTGACTAGTGTTTTTATTTTGCTCAGCATTTAGAGGGCTTCGTGCATTTAGATTTTCCCCCCATTAGTAGCAATAGCTTTATTGATAGTGCACTACTTAGGATGGCCATGTCCTCGGAAAGTCAGGGTTTGAGAGGGCAGCCAGGTAGAGAGCCCCTCAGACTGGGTTGCTCAGTCATGGAAGTCTCAGCTAGCATCGGGTACCAAGAGCACAATTGCTGGTAGGAGGAGGCCTTCCTCCACTCAGTTTCAGAGAAGCGATGCTGGCGCAGTTGCCAAATAATGTATCTGGAATTGCTCCCATGCCAGTATATGGGCTTGCCTCTTCTTTCCGTTGCTTTTGTATAATATAATAACCTGTCATTTGGAATGTTCTTATTCAGCCCAGTTCCTTTTCTGTGTTGGGATTACTTGAAGGGTTTGCTATTTCTCAAATGTTGAAGGCAAATTAGCCTGATGCTTTTAATAACTGTGTTGGTGGCAGTGACCAGCAAGGTAGAGTCCAAGAAAGTAAACAAACAGCTTTTAGGGCACTGTCCAGCTGACTTGGGTAGAGATTCTCACTGTGCTCTTGGAAGGAGGGGTTTCCTCTCACATCCTCCCTAACAGCACCATGCTGTCACCCTTGAGTTTTAAGGACTGACATCAGTGGAGTTGGGGTTCATGTCAGGTGAATTTTTTGTTTTCCCTTGTTGGAGTTTTGCTTTTCTATATTTATCTGTGCAGGGCCCTGTGGATTTGACTGCCAACACTGAAAGCGACGCACACACACACACACACACACACACACACACTGTCTTGTGTATCTTTTGACATAGTTCATGGTCTTCTTTGAAGTCATTATCATAAAATGATCAGTATCATAAAAAACGATTAGTGCTTAGGCTCACTTCCTACCTGTCCATCCTCTCTGGGCTGAGGAGGTGGAGGTGATGTTGAAGGACATAGGTGTTGGTAACTAACCACTGGAAGGCCTTTTCAGGACAGGCATCAGGAGCACAGGGAAGCAGTACCGCTGAGCCTTGCCTGTGGACTGGATGGTGGAGAGTGAGCTGCTGCTGTGGTTTCACAGTCAGCTGAGGAAGTGTGCAGTGACCTTCAGCTCTTTCAGAGCTGCAGCCCTGGGGGGTTGTGCTGCCTGGGAGATGGGCTGTGGTCAGTTTGGGTCATGGTGATGGGTAGCATGAGTTCCATATGCTGAAGGGATGGAGCAGGAAAGGTATAGAAGGAGCAAGGCTCCTCGGGAGATGGGGGGGTGGGGGAGATGTTGATGCCCCACAAATGTGTCCTGACCCGCTCCACTAGACTCAGTGCCTGCGAGCTCACTGTTGGAGGGCTGGCATAGACTCTGCGAGCGACAAGCACTGCCGCACATGGCTTCCTGAAGGTAATGAGGGAGACATGAGGACATTTTCTTTTTCTGTGTGCGTGTGTGTGTGTGTGTGTGTGTGTGTGTGTTAGTATTACTGTGGATTATGATCTAGTTAGTGGCATTTCTGGTTTTTATAAAAATACATCATAAAAAGTTTTTGCTCCTAACTGGTTCTCTGGTACCTAAGCAGTATCCTGCTTAGGGTGAATTGATCCTGCCTGACCTGGCTTGCTTTGGGCCTCTGGTTGCTTGTGTTGTGTTCCATCATGCTCACACACACTGGACTCGAAAGGACTGCATTTGGACATTAGCCCTGGTCTGTGCTCTCCAGCCCTAGCATTGTCATTCTGGGAGATTCCCGAGTGGGTTATGGTATATACCACTGGCCTTTAATCTCAGCACTTGGAGGTACAGGCAAGGATCCCAACTTCAAAGTCATTCTCAGTTACGTGATGGGACTGAGGACAGCCTGGACTACATGAGCTCTTGTCTCACAAACAACAGAAACAACCAGAACCATTTGAGCACCCTTGAGTTCCCTTTGGGTAGCACCTCTGGGCTGCTTCAGCATAGTCTTGGTAGGAAAGAGAAGCTCAGCTCCTGACAAGCAACAGTGGCAGTGGTCAGGGCTTTGGGATGCATGGTTCTGTGTCCTGAGGGTGTGAGGGCCTCTTGCTGACCCTAGGTTAGGTTGAGCAGAAGTGGGCACAAAGAATCTTGGACTCTGAGGATTGCTGGGTGGGTACCCAAGGGTCTCTTCTGGCAAACACCACAAGGGGTAAAATTCTGTTAAATGTCTTACTGATATCTGTATGTTTGTGGCTGTGGGTTAGTCTGACTAAAGACTCATGTAGTATTAAACGTAACCATGGTTATTAAACGTAACCATGGGAGCTGGAGACATGACTCAGAGGTTAAGAGCACTGGCTGCTCTTGCTCTTCCAGGGGACCTGGCTTCTGTTTTTAGTACTCAAGTAGTTTATAACTGTCTGTAATGTCTGCTGCAACCAGGAGTTCTGGCACCATTTTCTCATCTCCAAGGGCCCTAGACTCACTCACGTACTACCCATACAGATAAGCATACATGCCTGTGACCGCCAGCACTCCGTAGGCAGCGGCAGGAGGATCCTGTCACCCTTTCAAAGAAAGAAAACTGATGGTCTTACTTGGATATGGATTCTGATAGTATTTTCTCATTCTGGGCTGCTTTGAGGTTAATTATAGCCTTTTTAGGAAGATTTGAGTTTAATGATCCTGACAACCTGGGCTCCTAACTGGCCAACTTGAACTGAGGAAGCTGGGAATTAAAATTCAGAATGTGAAGATGCCTGAAATGAACTTAAAAGTTTGAAACAGTCGAAGAACAAGAACAAAAATTACTAGCTTTTAAATAAAACAATCTGGTCCTCTCTTTGTAACTACCCCTCATCCACCATCAGTAAAAAGTAGGACCTAGGGAGGATCCAAGTTCACTTTGAATTCTGGTTCTTTCCAGCTTTGTGTAGTGAACCCTTTGAGGATAATGACCTAGAATACAAAGCTGAACACTCGTGTTGACTCACAGATGATATGATTATGGGGTGGAACTGCCAGGAGGGTTAGGTTTTGAGATTCCATCTTATATTCTTTTTCCTTTCTCCCCTCTTCCCTGTTTCCTCTCCCTTCTTTTCCTTTTGCTTAGAATTATGACTTAGCTATTCTTTTTTTTACCAGACAGGGTCTTGCTATATAGTCCTCACTGGCCTGGAACTGTTATTACCTGCCTTTGCCTCTTACGTGCTAGAATTAAAGATGTACCACTATATCCAGAGTTACTTGTTGGTTCTTATAGTTATTTTGGCCCTGGAATTGACCCTAGGACCTTACACATGATAAAGTGCTCTGTGCCCTGACTTGCACTCAATGCAGCTGTTCTGGACAGTAGACTCCTGATTCAGTTTCTGCATGATTTCCACCCCCACCCCCCAAGTTGTGCAGTGTGAGCATTTATTTATAGATCTAACAGTCTAGGTTATATTTGTGGCTCGTCACAATTCTAAGAAGATGACTAGAAATGATTTTGCTTTGAACAGGGTGTGTGGAATTCAGAAACAGTGGAGAGGCGTGGTGGTCAGGTGGCTGCCGTTTCATTGCTAATGCTGTTGTGTTTCCCTGCAGCTGGTTTTCCTGTGGGCTATGCAGCAGCGCCTGCCTATTCTCCTAACATGTACCCCGGAGCGAATCCTACCTTCCAAACAGGTATGTACTACATGACAGATGTCTGTGTATCTGGGGAAGAGATATGGAACTAGGATTTGTGGTTGAGTGTCTTTCTACATTCATAAATGAACTTGTTGATGAGTGTGATCAAACTTCAGGTCTCAGTGCATATAAGCTTTGCTTTCCTGAGTTTCTCAGATCCACCTACCAGCTTTTGGTCTGTACAGGTAATTCCAAAACCTTTCTTATGACAGGATGTCCTACCAGGGACTGGAGACCCTTTGTCACTGAGCTCTGCCTAGGGTGCTCTGCTTATATTTTTAAAAGCAAACTTTGCTTTACATATACAGTACATGCACACATTTTCAGATTTGAGAAATTGCTGGTTAAAATTGAAAATGAATTTGTTTGGTTCTGAATTACATAAAGATTATTTAGTGAGATTTCCTCCTGTACCCTCTGGTGTGAGCTGTCAGCTTCTCTTGGGATTTACTTAAACAAGACATTGTGATTCCTTTGAGTGTGCGGCTCCTGCTTTGATGTAAGAGCTGAGCTTGTCCCATGGGGCACGGTTGTTGAGGCTGCTGGGCCAGTGCTTTCCCCACACTCGAGTTGCTTTGGGTAGAAGAGGAAGCACTAATTCCCCTGCTCTGAATTCCTTCTTTGTGACTCATAAGTCTGCCCTCTCACCCGTCTCTCTGTGCCCAGCCTTCTGCCTTCCTGCCTTCCGTAGCGTAGACCCAGAGGAAAACTTGGGCATGAGCTTTCTGCTTCAGAGTTGTCTGTCTTAGGTCCGTGTTCCTGTTCACTACAGTTATGAGTGTAAACGGTGGTGTGGGCAGAAGGTTAATAGTTTCTCGTCTCTGGGGACAAGAGTCTCTGCTTTGATCCCCTAGCTCTTTCCCAGAGTAGGCACTTAGAAAGCTCCTCCCTCTTGTGATTCGTGTCTCCTTGCTCTCCTGAGCCTGCTGCTGAGACTGTGTTACACATCTTCAGCAGTTTCCCACAGTGCTACTCAATAGGGCACCAACAGTTCTGCCACCCTGTTCCTGTTTGAAGGCACATTACACTCTGTAGCTTCTTTTTAAGCAGTGCTCTTGTGTATATAACTAACACACAGCACATATCTATAATGCGCATTTGGTCGTTTCTGCTGTGAAGGGAACCTTTATCACAGTTGGCAGTGAACTTACCTGTTTGGGCAAATTCGGTTCTGTCCATTTCAACTTTACTGGGCTCCAAAGAATCATAGATGTGTTTTTTCTTGCTATAGATGAGTTGTGGTTTCTAATTTTTTTATATAAATGGAATCACACAGAAGGCACTGGGTCACTTTTGGACGTCTTTAACTTAGACTCTCCTGTTGTAGTACCTGTTCCTCCTTCCTCCCTTCCGTTGTCACTTGTGCCTGTTGTATGTGAAACATCGCTTGCTTATGTATTGCTCAGCTACTAGCATTTGTACTGCTCGAGTTTAAGAGTTTGTATTTAAAATTCATTTAGCAAGTGAAGTTTTCTGGGTATTAACATAAGTCCATGCTTTCATTTTGTTGAGTAAATATAAAGGGGTGAAGAAGCTGATTTTAGGGCAGGTAAGAGTCTGCCACAAACAGTATTCCAGAGTGACTGCTACCTCCATTCCCCTGGGTGTGTATTATTAGTCCCAGTCCTCTGTCTCCTTGGCAACTCCGGTATGAGTAGTTTTTTCCATCCTAGTTGTATTAATGGACATCTAATGATTTCCCATTGTAGCTTTGATTTGAACTGCCTTGACAGTAACATTGATGATCTTTTCATGTGTTAAATTATCATTCGACTCTCTGGTAAAGGGTTCTGCTGGGCATGGTGGTGCAGATCTGTCTTGCCAGGTACTCTGGCGGCTAATACAGGAGAATCCTATGTTCAAGGTGTACCTGAACTACAGGGTGAGTTCAAGGCTAGCCTGCACATTTTAGACTCAGTTTCATATAAAAATGAATGAGGAATGGGAATGGAGAGATGGCTCAGTAGTTGAGAGCAGTTGCCATCTCTGCAAATTTTAGGCCCTAGCACCCATGTGAGGCAGCTCACAACAACCTATAACTGCAGCTCCAGGGGTTGACACCAACACATACATGGGTGCAGACACATTACAATTAAAACTAAAGTAAATAGTGAATAAAAGCAAAAGCAGAACAAGAGCTCTGGACAGGGTCAGTGATGAGAAGTTGCCAGCTTGGGCAAGGCCCTGGATTTAGTCCCCACAATACCCCTGAAAGGAGAGAGGTTACATGCATCTTTAACTCTCTGTTAGGAAGTCATTTTATTTTTACAGACTTTGTTTGAAGATCTATTTTTATTTTCTCTGTGTGAGCATTTGTCTATGTGTATGTATATGCACCATGTGTATGTCAAGTCCCTGCTAAGGCCAGAACAGGGTGTTGGTTCCCCTGAAACTTGAGTTACAAGTGGTTGTGAGGTGCTTGAACATGCTGGGAACTGAGCCTGCTTCTCTACAAGAGCAGCCAGGGGTCGGAACTGCTGATGCATCTCTGCAACCCACGTTTTGGTTTTTAAAAGACGTGTGCGTGTGCGTATGTGTGTTCCTTGTGTTTCTATGTACCATGTGCAGGTACCCCAGAAGCCAGGGAGAACAGCAGATTCCCTAGAGCTGGAATTACAGACAGTTGTAAACTACCTGGTAAGGTGCTGAGAACTGAGTCCAGGTCTTGCACAAGAACAGTATGTACTTTTAATCATCCAGCTATCTTCATTGTCTGTCTCTTCCTACTCAGGGGTGTCTTGATCCTGGGCCTCAGCCTCCTGAGTAGCTGGAACTGAGATGTACTACTCTCTTGCTTAGAGCAGAGTTTTAAAAGAATTTTTTTATTTATCAAGTTCATGATTACAGGGGTTTCTCTCCCCCACCCTTACCATCACCCCGCTTTTCTTTTGATACCTTGCACAGAGCACAAGTTTTCAAAATTTGATGAGGCTATTACTGTTCTTTTGTGGATTACATTTTTGGTATTCTGAAAATCTGTCTAAAATCCTCACTTTACCTTCTTTCAGTTTTAGCTTGTACACTTGGAGTTAATTGTGTGTAGCTCTGGGTTAAACTGAAGTGCATTTCTGTGGGTTAGTGCTTCCTGCTCACACCCTGTGTGCACGTTCTTTACTCACATGGTTTACTTACACCTCTTTCCTCCTAGAGAACACGCTGATATGAAAAGGACTGAAAACTTGCAACTCATTTTTGTGATTTTCCTAAAAGAGCCTCGGGTTTGTTGAGGACAGTGCAGGTGTTCTTGCCTAAAGCTGGGGTGTCTGGAACAAATGCAGCCCCCTTCTCTCAGGTTTCCTCCTGTCTTGTCCACTTTCCAAGACTGCTCTCAGCTGGATCCTTAAGTGTGAAAGCTGAGGTAAGCAGTAACAGGAACAGTGGCCCAGGGTGCGGCCTCGGTAGCCTCTGCCAGGCCCCTTGGCTGACAGACTCATGGCTTCATAGTGCCGGGTTATCTGTGTTGGTGTTGTCAAAAGACTTGGAATAAAGCTGTTTCTCCGAAATTGGTTAAGGCAGGAGTATGGAGTATCTTGGAAGGCCTTGGTGTCCCACCATACGGTTGGCACCTGATCTAAATCAGAGCTGTGCACTCTTCTTTTATGGGTCTTTGAAAAGTAGGCTCCCTTTCACTGGGCCCAGTAAGGAGGGACGTTTCTCTTTTCTGGATATGATCTAGCACAGAGGCAGCAGGTCTGAGGGGCTTCCTGGGCACCTTCGCAATACTGTGATCCTTTTTAGTTTTTTTTAAAGATTTATTTTTATTTTGTATGTGTATGAGTGTTTGCCTGCATGTTTGCCTGTGTACCGTTGTCAATTTTATGCTGGCAGAAGCCAAAAGAAGGCACCAGCTCCCCTGGAACTGGAGTTACAGGTTGCTGTGAGCTGCCATGTAGATGCTGGGACTGAACCAAGAACAGTGAGTGCTTTCAATCCCCGACCCATTTCTACAGCCCCCTTTTCTTAATTCAGTTGTAAATGTGTCACAGGAGTCTGAGAACCTTGGGATTTGTGGTGGCTTTGGTGATACATCCTGTTCCATGATCTGGATAGAGATTCATTTATTTTGAACAAATGTGGAATTTGGAGTGGGCTTTTCATACTTGTAAACTCCTTGGAAACTGAGCTAGTGAAGGCTTAACCTGGTTGGTGACTGGTGACATCCTGGGAACTGTGATCTCATCCTTGGAACTTTGTTGGTATTGTGGGAGGATGATGATCAGACTTTGGGCAGGCCTGGCACTTAGTGCAGTCTGGTACTCCTGGCCCTGTCCCACTGCATGACACAGGCGCACTGATGATCTGAAAGCCTCAGGGAAAAGTAACTGATAGTGATCACTGTAGCCATGGCTGGCCTGCAGACCCATAGAGGTCTTCCTACCTCTGCCACTCCAGAATTAAAGGCTCTGCTGGAATTAAAGGCTGTGCCACCATGCCCTGTCAAAGCATGTTTTTGAAAGGCAAACTTGTTGCTGAGAGATGCACTACAGCAGTAAGTAGTAGGCAAACACAAATACACATGCAGCTTAGAGCAGGTAACAGTTCCGTGAAGCTGCCTGTTACAGTGCTTATCTGGCTTTGACATTTGTTTATAAAAGATATTTAACAATAAATGAAAATATAACCTAGTCTTTTTTTTCTTTTTAAATCCAGAATTATGTCTCTGAAATGAGGTTCCAGGTTTGCTTAAACAGAAAGCTTATTGTATGACCAACTGTTTTGAAATAGCTCTAGAGTGTTGATTGACAGGAGTCTTTCCCTCTTAAAGGTATATATGCACAAATTCTAACAATACCTATGCTTGCAGATAGCTTCTTACAGTTAAAGCAGAGGGCTGGGGGTGGGGCTCAGTTTGTAGAGTGCTTACCCAGCACACAATCCCTATACAGCCTGCATGGTGGCTCATCGTGGGGCTAGAGGATTGGAAATGTAGGGTAAGCTGCTATATAGTGAATGTGAGGTCTTCCTAGGCTATGAGACACTCACTGCCTTGGGAAGGAAGGAAATCAGTCCTTTGCTACCACCACATTAGAATGCCTATGTGTCCTGACTTCCATTAGACTCCTCTTGCTGACTGCTGTCCTTTTGTTGTGGTGGGAGGCGTGCTGTTGTTTTGTTTTTGTTGGCTTGTCAAATTCAGTGATAAGGATTCTGTTGCTCTTTTGACCTTTTGTCCTGTCTAGAACCTCTCAGGAGACTCAGTAGGACTCTTGAGATTTCTCAGTGTGTGTTTCTGGCCCATGAGCTATTCTAGTACTGTGCTTTCTTGGTGCTCGTTCAGGAGCCCTGCTTCTCCCATAGCCTGGCTCCTGTGCTGAAGCCCTCCTCGGTCCTTGCCGCTTCTCAGTTTCCACTTTGCTTTTGTGGAGTATTTCCTTCAGTAGCTTCCCAGGAGATTATGAGAGCGTTCTGTTGTAGAGAATTTTCCCCTGTAAAAAGCATTTTCTGCATCTGTATCTGACCTCCCAATAGTTCTGTGGATGTAGACATGTGGGCTAACAGCCATTGTCCCTAGTTAAGGCATCACACTGAGAAATGGCCAATACTGTTGAATACTGAGAATGAGGATCTATCTAATGCTACATACTGAGTCTGTTTATGAAGCTGAATGTATATCTTTTGCCTTCTTTAAATCTGTAACAGCTTACCTAACCTTAAAAAAATATTTTGTTTTTTAAAAAATGATTTTTTTTGTTTGTTTTTGTTTGCAGTGCTGGAGATTGAACCCAGGGTCTTGCACATGTTAGGCAAGTGCTCTGTTCGAGCTGTGTTCTTGGCCCTTTGTGTTTTGTTTGTTTGCTTGCTTGTTTGTTTGTTTGTTTGCCTTTAAGATTTAAACACTGACATGTGTGAGTGCTTGCCTGCATCTGTGTGTGCCCAGTGCCTGAGGAGGACAGTAGAGTGTGTCAGATCCCCTGGAACTGGAATTGCAGATGGTGAGTCGCCATGTGGGTGCTGGAAACTGAACTCAGGTCCTCTGTAGTCTAGGCCTGTCTTGAATTTCCCATCCTCTTGCCTCAGCCTCCTGAGTGCGAAGAGTCTTAAGTGTAGTGTTACCCCCTTAGAGAGTTTTCAGTAGAAACAGTTTCGGGTGCATCCCTAACTTGTGAGAGTGCAGCCACTTCCCCAGTCACTTGCTCTTGATTGCTACCAGCTGAGTCGCTGTGTCAGCTGTATTCCATCAGTGTTCCTGTGTTGTTCTGAAGCAACTCTCATGTATCACGTGATGACTTTTACAAGTACCTCTAAAAGTGTATGTGACACTCACCATGCCTAAAGCGTTAGTTACTAGTGCTCCCGTTTCTACATGTCGTCTGTATCACAAGTGCTTCTTGTTGTGGCTTTGATTCTGGGCAGTGGTGTGGGCCCTGTTTTTAAGACAAGTGAGAACTGACTAGCATGGCTCCACCGGGACACCCAGGGTCTGTCCTCAGAGTGCTGCACACTTGAGCATTTTGTTGTTTGGTTTGTTTTGTATTTTGGTTTTTTGAGACAGGGTTTCTCTGTGTAGCCCTTGCTGTCCTGGAACTCACACTGTAGACCAGGATGGTCTCACACTCACAGATCTGCCTGCCTCTGCCTCCCAAGTGCTGGGACTAAAGGTGTGCGCCACCACTGCTCGACCATTTGAGCTTTTTGATTGTCAATATCTCCTTCATGTGATTTTAGTGCTTCCCTCAGAGAATTTTGCTCTCTCTCCCTTCTGTATTTTTGGTTTTAAGCAGTCCCTCCATGCTGGCCTCAGATCCACAGTCTCCTTCCTCAGTCTTCAGAGTGCAGTGAGTGCAGACACGTACATCCATACTCAGTTTTGGCAAGGTGACTCGATTGAAATTCCTGGAAATAATGGGGCAGAAACTAGATTTAAAAATGGAGTAGGTATCAGACTTAGCAAGGCCACCTGTTCAGCTATTATACTGTCTGGCGTGATTGTGGTTGTGATAAGTGAAGGCCTGGTTTAGAGGATGGCAAGGTATGCTTGATTTCTCTGCTCCAGTCCTGCATAGTTCCTTTTGTGACAGTCTTGCTTCCACCCTGAGTTGGTTTTCTCTCCTGCATCCATGTTGCTGTGAGCACTCTACTTCCCTGCTTCCCTGTGTTTCCTACTAAAAGTCAAGGACCTTGTCTAGAGGGTCGGCTCTTTTTTGGTCACCTTTAGTAGGACCTGGCTCGGTGGCAGGTCATGACTTCTTGCATAATGAGTACTCCCTTGGGAACCGTTGGGCTGCCCTGCTCCTTCCCCTTGCTCTGTCATTGAAACCTGAATAGATGGATCTTACATGGCTTCTCCCAAACTTAAAGATGGCTTACAGATTTGTTGTGGTTTAATTGGCATATAATAAAGTTGAACATACTTAAAAATTTGAGTTTCAGAATGCATGTACCATCTCTATCATTTTCCTTTTTATCCTTTGTAAAGGCCAGGAGGTGAGCAGTGGGAGAAGGGGATGTTTGCTGTTTACCCTGTAATAGATGTCCAAGATGGGCAGCGTCCTTCTCAGAATGGATTTATTAGGCTCATAGTTTTGGAGATTTCCATCCTTGATGACTTAGTCCCATTATTTGAATGTGTGGCCAGGCAGAACATGATAAAACAAAAGCCCTTAAATTATGGATTTGTCCCACAGTACACATACCCCAATGCATATACCCTGCTGCATACCACAGTGCATATATCTCAGTGCATATATCCCAGTGCATACTCCAGTGGCTACAGAATTTACCACTAGACCCCATTCTCTCGCACTACCACACTGCAGAGCACACTTTTGGAGGAGTCCTTCAGATCCAAGCTATGATAGTCTCCTTATGTACTCTTTCTTGTCTTTTAACTTGCTTTATAAATTCTAATAGAAAGTCTGCATTTTTGGCTTTCTAGGTAAAGCACCAGTATTGAAAGTTGATATTTTAAAAATGGTAGATATTGTAGACGTCATTAATGCTCTCTACTAAAAATATAATTAAAAATTTCAAATTAAAATTGTTTATACTTGGTTCGTCCTTTAAAATTGAGACACAGTTTGTGCACGAACACTCACATATTTAGTGTGTACTTTGATGGGGTCCCACAGTTGGACTTCAGCACTAACTGTGGAGCCATCGCCCAAAACAATCTTGGGACATTTTCATTCTGTCAGTAGGGCTTCCCTTTTCTCCCTTTCCAGATTTTTTCCACACATTTAAGACTTGGATTTCAAAATACGTATGCCATATATCTGTTACTTTTGATGTGGACAGGCCAGTTGTTGGATATGTAAATGAGGTCATTTATTATGTGGTATACTTTGTCTGGCTTGCTTTGGAAATCCAATGGATTTATAATTTGTAATTTTTTTCTTAGTGATTGCTAAGTAGTGTTTATATGGCCAGATCAGAGTCTCCTGTTGATGTGGATTTATGTGTAAGGCTGGAAAACATGTTTTCTAAATTCTGTTGTGGCCCCTGGTGGGGTTGTTGCTTGCATTTCTGAAACCTGTCTGTCAGAGCTTATGATTCTGACACACCCATGGACAGCCAACTGCTCTGTGCCACAAGTCTACAGCGACAAAAACACAAAGGCCATCATGGCCTCTGCAGAAAGCCTTTGTAGAGAGTAGGCTTGAGGAGACTGGCAAGCTGTCCTCAGAGTTCAAGTGCTGGTTTTGGTTGGATAGTTGCACCACCACAGTCTGCAGTTGCACACTTATGAAAGACTCCTGCCTCTGGCCACTGCCTAGTTTTCAGTTATTGAATTCTTCCCAGGGTTCCCTTTCAGCTGTTTGCTCAGGCATGTGTCTGACTTTCACCTCATACGGCTATCTTGGAGCTTGTCTTGTGTGTCAGCAAGACACTGATTCGCAGGACACACCAGAGTCTGCTCACTAGCAGTTGAGTGGCCAGAACTCTCCTGGAGGAAGACCCCTGTCTCTGCCACTCCTTCAGGAGCCAGCTAGTCTCTTTGCCCTTGTGGAGCTCTTCCTCAGCTTCATGTACCTGTCCTCATTCCTGTGACCTGTTAGTACAGCTTCTGGAAATAGCCTCATGTGGCTGTAGGGCGCCATCTTGTCTTCTCTTCTTCATGTAGCTTTATATGTTCTGTCCCCTTTTAAGAAATGATTTGTGTATGTGTGGAGGGAGTCCAGTACTCCTGGAGGGCAGAAAAGTTGGCTGGATCCTCTGGAGCTGGAGTTGTGAGTGACCTTATGTGTCTGGAACTGAACTTGGGTCCTCTAAAAGAGGACTATGTGCCCTTAACTGCTGAGGTATTTCTTAGTATCTTCTCATGTCTTCTGTTTAATAATCTGCTTTAGTGTTTAGTGTTTCATTTTAGTGATGGTGCAGGTCAACCTGCCCCCCTGACTCCCGACTTTACACTGAAGTGCTTTGCCAGGCTGTGACATTTTGTTGGTTTATTTAGTTTCGCTGTAATGAGCAATGTCTTGCTTGCTTGCAGTGAAGTTGCATGTGTATACGCTTATTTCTCTAAGATTAGACCTTAAATGTAGGGTGAAAAGGTATATGTGCCATTAATGCCAAGTCGAGCTGAGGGAGGCCATAGTCACTCCTATCCAGCAAGACAGGACAGGTTCTTGTGTGAGTATGTGCTCTGCAGAACTTAGCACTGCACATGCGTACATGCACACAAAGCATAGAGATCCAGGTAGAAGAGAAGGGACTGTGGTGGCAACAGGGCTCCACCGTGTTCATGATTGGTGGTGGCCCTAGCTCCTTCCTGCAGAGTTGTCCTTGTCTGGCATTGACTAGGTGAACTCAGGCCTTTGGCTTCTTTGTTCCAGGCTATACTCCTGGCACGCCTTACAAAGTGTCCTGTTCCCCAACCAGCGGAGCTGTGCCACCGTACTCCTCCTCTCCCAATCCTTACCAGACGGCTGTGTACCCAGTGAGAAGTGCCTACCCCCAGCAGAGCCCATATGCCCAGGTATGCTTGGGCATGTCCTACCCCTGGGGGAGGGTTGGTTCCATCATCTCCCTACAGCCCTGGGACCCTTTGGCAGTTGTCTCTGTTTTCTCCACAGCAAGGCGCGTACTATACACAACCTCTGTATGCAGCACCTCCTCATGTCATTCACCACACCACAGTGGTGCAGCCCAATGGCATGCCAGCAACTGTCTACCCTGCTCCTATCCCACCTCCTAGAGGCAGCGGGGTCACCATGGGCATGGTTGCTGGGACCACGATGGCCATGTCAGCAGGTGAGTCCTAGTTCTTGTGTGTTCTGCAGAATCCTGAGACATGCTGAAGTGGGGAGAGTCCATGAAGCTTCTGACTCAATGGCCTTCAAGTCTCAAGGCCTTACTTAGGAAAGGATTACTGAGCCCACCCCTTCTCTTCCCTTTCTCCTTTCAGGAACACGCATGAGTCGAGTGGCCTTCCCACTGTGGAACTTAACTGAATACCATGCCTCGTTAGAGAGCTAGGTGGCCATGTGGCAGTAGGAATGAGGAGTGTTTAGGTAACCCTCATTTGACTACTTCAGTGAGCAGCTAAACTGAGCAGTTCCAGATGGGCCAGCTGTCTCTGTTGTTGAGGATGCAGTAATGAGAAAGCTCCTCTAAAAAAGCTGGCTTTATGTCCCTAGAGGGAATCGCTGCTTGTAACAATCCTATGCCGTTTATTGATCAGATCAGGAAAGTGAGTTGGGACATACCTCCATGGAAGCTTGGGGTTTGCTGGCAGGTCTGAGGATGGAGCCACCTCTTGACCTTTCATTTGTAGCTGCCTTTAAACTGTTCCATGCAAGATCACTTGCTTCTCCATGACTGAAATTTAAGGGAGAAAAAAAATGAAGCCATCCCTTACACAATTTTTTTCTGGATGTCAGCATGAGGAAATTATGTCAGCTCTAGCACTATGGGATTCTGTTTAGTTTCTGCTTTGACCTTTTCAGTTTGTTGTTACAGAAAACTAGCGTAGACTGGCTGCCTGCCTGGAGGCAGCTCCCTCAGGAGTGTGGGCAGCAAGGATGTGCCTCCACCTTGAGATGGGGAGGTGTGGCTTAGCCTCAGCCATTCCCGAGTGTACGTGTGAATGGGTAGAGCCCCCTCATGCCTGTGTTCATGGTCTTTCTCTGTCTTCTCCTCGCTGTCCTCTCCGTCCAGTATACAACCCAGTGTGTTGTGAAACAGGTCTTCAAACATTGACCCTGCAAGTCTAAAACTCCTGTACCTATCACACAGATAGGCCATTCTCCTTCTCTGAGGGGTAGCATCCACTATTCCATGTCTGAATTTGACAGTGTTGAGCACGTCATGTGAGGACGTAGGGACACACACTGTCCTTCCTCACGGGCCTCCTCACTTAGCACACTATTCTCCACAGTCACCTCTGCTGGCCATGTGGTAGAATCTCCTTCCTGACTAAGGGGAGTCGACTCAGTTTTTCATTTTGTAGTCATGTGATCTGCCAAAATCACTGCATGGTCTGAAGAGGAGTTACAAGCATACTGTGACCACACCAACTGCTGTGCTAATAATGCCTTTCGACACTTTGGATAATTCGTTTGGAGTTTTGACACTCTGGTTCAAGACCAAGACCATACCTCTTCCCTGACCCAACCGTCGCCCCACCCCCCCCCGCCCCCCCCCCCCCCACACACACACACAGTGCCAGATCATGATGTGCGATCAGAGGCCACATGGTAGAGCTCTCTCTAGTGGTCACTTGTGCTTCCTTATGAAATGTTCTTTCTTCCAGGTACCCTGCTGACTGCTCATTCTCCAACTCCTGTAGCCCCTCACCCAGTCACTGTCCCCACGTACCGAGCCCCAGGAACACCCACGTACAGCTATGTGCCCCCGCAGTGGTGATTGCCCTGCAAATTAATGTGAGTATTAGTGAAGGATGCGGCTGGGTGGGCCCTGCAGAGGTGCACATCTCTGAGGAAACTATGAAACTGACCAGATAGAAGCACTGGTCTAGTTTGCTTGTCTGCCGATGTGGTAAAACACTGAGCATGAGCGCCTTGGGGGAGGGAGGATGGGCTTGGCTTACAATTACCATCCATCATAATAGGAATCTGAGCAGGAACTGGCGAACAGACCGTGAGGATGGGTGGTAACTGGCTTGCTCCCTCTGGCTTGCCCTCCTTGCTCACCTACCTTCCTTATAGCCTTGGTCCACCTGCCCACGAACGGCACCCTAGGCCTCCATCCTTGTGTCCTTACCCTTATTGGACATCCCAGGAAGGAAGGAAAGAAGGAGGGAGAGCATTGAGTGTTCAGTGTCTGTCTTGCTGCTTCTGTAGTGGGCTTGTATCACTTCTGTTGACTGCAGTGTGTAGGGCTGCAGGTATAATGGGGCAGGGGGCACAGGGTGTGACTGTAAGGTGGGTGAGAGCCGGGTGCCGAAGCTTTGGCTACTGCTGCCCTCTCTGGAACTTGTGAAGCACAGGTGCCAGGAGTCTGACTGTTGTCATTCTTTCCCAGATTTGAGGATGGAGCTGTGCAGTCACTTCATTGAGTTCCACAGCTGGTGCTGCGGGCCTTGTGCCTCCAACCAGGACTTTCTTCTTAATGCTCCGACACTTAGCTAAACACGACTGCGTCCCAGCCCAGCAGGTCCCAGCTCGCTAGTCTCCAACTAACTCTGTGGGTTGGTTTTAAAGCAAATCCTGTTTTGTGGACTGCCTGGCAAATTTTTTAGCTAACTGTAATGATAAAAAAGGGAGTATTACTCTATTCTGAATCCTATCTAGTTGAATGCATGTTTATCAAAACAAAAACAAAGCTTGCTCAATCTACCTGCAGTGACTGATGCAAAACCACCATATGCAAAACCCAAAGGACTGGTCTGTGTTCACAGCCTGTTACTCATGCACCTCTCGGATGTATGCTGAGTCTCAGTTACACTCGTGCAAGGGATATCCTCACTGAAGCGTGGGGAGTACTGGACGGGACTCTTAGGGTGCTGGGGTTGCCAGTTATGGACACAGACTTGTAGCTTTCAGCAGCCTGGTTTTTTGGCACTAACTGACTGATCCTGGAGGGAGCTGCAGGGACTGGGAGAGAGAGAGTGTGAGCCTGCAGCAGCTCCAGATAGCAGCAGCAGGGATAGTGGGGCCCCTTCTCCTTCATTTCAGCTGGAGTGTGCTCTGGGAAGCAGGGATCTACCTGAAGCTTATCAGGAAATACAGGAGCTTGGTAACCAGTCCAGCTGGGGTGAAGAATGGTCTGTGTGTCAGAGCAGTGTCTGCCATCTGAGTTTCCGCTGTATGTCTTACAGGATAATGTTTTGTGTATCTGTTGGGACTGTTGGAAAAGTCCATTGTAGAAGTAAACTGTCTTCCTAGGAGGGAAGATGTCAAAGAGAAGCAGCCACACTGAGGCAGTGTTGCCTTTTGCTTTATTTCACTTAGGGAACCATTCCTTTTTTCTTCTGAGAATAATTGAGTCAGCTAAAGACACAGGCACTGCTGTATTCTCCCACAAAGACTTCAGCCATGTGCTGAGGAGAGTGTTGTACATTTAAGACTGGTTACAAGGGAATACGTGTATTTTTAAGTTAGTTCCTCATGTTTCTTGTAGAGAAGCAGGGCTGTGATTATGTCTAAAAATGTAGAGATAATGTAGCTTGTCTTGGGGTCTTTCACCCAAGGATGACCTGCCCTCTGTGACTAGCGGGGTGAGGCCTGGGAAGCCTGCGGAAGTGGTTTGTGAGCCCCTTTTCCACTCTCTTCTGTAGCTGATGGCAGTCAGTACCAAGCTGATGTGGAAAGCAGAAAGGAAGGGCCAGGCAGGTGAGGAATGCGCTTGCCTGGAAGACTCTATGGTGGGAAAGATTTTGAGTGTGTACATAAGAAATCACGAGGGTTCTTTTTGCCTGAATATGCCCAACTTGAATCTGTGAGAGTGTTTTTGTTCAGTGTGGGTCAAAGGGGCGGGGCATGAGGACCTCTCTGGGGTCTGTCAATTGGGGGTGTGCTTTTTATCTTTTTTTTCAACCCCATTGAATTGCTAGGGCTTTGGTTGGAAGAGGTGCTTGTCTCTGGCAGCTAAGTCAGGGCTTCTGTGTTGGTGTGAGGTCACCTTAGTAGCAGTCAGCTTGGCTAGAGGGTGGGTCACCTGAATATTGAACCTTTTGTGACCTAATTTTTATAGTAATGCTCTCCATAATTTTTTTTTAGCATTTTATTTTTTGAGAAGTTTAGGAAGATTTTTGCATGAATCAGTGTGAACAGAAGATTCCTCATTCCTTATGTCCATGAACATAGAATGTTTATGGATAAGTATGTTTAATTGCCTCATGAGCACTTAAGTGGTGTGAGTGTGTGTGTGTGTGTGTGTGCACGTGTGTGTGCGCGCGCTTGGGTGTGGGTGTGCATGGGGGGAGGGGTAGCACAAGAAAGCACACACTGCACAGAGATAGAAACATTCGCTGTGGCACATAGCCTACATCTGTACTTCCTTGTTGGGATTCCCATCCCTGCAGTGGATGATGTGCAGTGTTGGTAGTTCCAAGGTTTCCCGGACTCAACAGACAGAAGGTTGTCTCCCAGGTGAATAATCACAGATCAGAACAAATGAACCTGTGACTTTCACATGTGTTTGAAGAAGTCCCCTTACCCACCCCCAACTAAACATAGCTATCTCCCTGCCTGGGAAGGGTATAGTTTTTTGCCTACAGCAGGAAGTACCAAGTCTTAGGGCTGCTTGCAGCTGTACACAGTGTGTGTTTCGAAACAGGCCCCAAGTTCTCAGGAGAGAGGGGTTGCCGCCCTCCTGATCCTATCGGCTTTCCACACTTGCCCTGGAACTGTTTAAATGGAGTGACTATCAAACACCTGTGTTATACAACTCGCCTGTGTGGAAATCTTTTCTGTTTTGAAGCTATCAGGATGTCACTATGGAATCTGCTGGTGAAAGATCTTACCAGGTGAAAATCTGGGCCTATGGATAGGAGTGAACTGTCACAGGTGGTGACTTTAACAACATTGAGTTTCAGTGAAATTAAGGAACAGAATTGGGTCAGTATTCTATTATATAGCTGCACAGGTATTCCAGAACATTGAGGAACATTCCAAGAAAGTGTGCTTTCTATGTGTGTGACATTCCTGACTAGAGTCCATCTGCTGAATTGACAGGCAAGCAGAGCCTGATACCTACGAACACTGACATCATTATCATCTGCTGCTGCCTTCCCTGAGGCTAGGGAGCTTCCTGCTGCTGCTGCTGCTGTCTGCGGTTTAGAGCTGTGCAGCACTGGAACCTGTGAGCTCCTTGAGTCTTGAGAAGTAAGCCCACCATCAGGATTGGGCCAGTTAGGCTACAGGCATGGATGGAAGCGACCTCTGGAACTGTTGTCTGTTGTATTGTGGTCTTCCTTGGAAGAACTGTTGAGTGGCCTTTGGTTACCAGTTACCATCCTGGGTAGCAGCTTGTGTTTTGCAGGGACAGTGTTTCCAGCAGGTAGGGAGGTCCTGGATTCTGGATTGGTTGTTAAGGGTCCTGCCTTTCCTCAGCCGTGCACCTGGTATCTGACTGCATCAGTTTTTGTTGTTGTGATGTGAAGGGAGGCTGACTGAAAGAGCAGACTGGGTGTTGTGTGGTACAGTGAGAAGAAGTCATTCCTGGGGAGGTCTGAGCTCGGCCTTCTGACTTGGGCCTTTGAGTGCACCAGCCTTAAACACTGGGGCTGCTTCAGATTTCCTCAGTTATCCTGAATATTGGAGATATTACTGAATATTACTGTGGGGCCACCTTCTCTCAGCAGCTGACTTCTGTACTCGCGTACCTGGCACTGCCGGGTGGCGCAGGACCTCCCAGGGTGCAGTGGCAAGTATGGCAGCTGCTGGTCCTTTCTTCGGGTGCTGAGGGTTGCGGAGGGCAGGTGTGCAGCAGAGCTTACTCTCAAGTCCAGCACACCTCCCAGGTCTTTGTATTTCCTGAGTTGCTTCCTCCTGTCAAGTCTTCTGTGTTGGATGGCATGATCATGTGGTCTCAGTAGGAACAGTCACAGTGTTCCCCATGTCTTAAAGGATTCTTCTCTTCCCTACCCCTCCCTGTTCATGTGAAGAACAGAAAGCCTGTGGAATAAATCTAGAACTATGGCATGGGAGGCAGCAGCTGTAATGAGATGTGAGGGCCCGGTGGGTATACAGGCAGTTCCCAGGGAAGGGCAGTGGGTAGCTCTGGTGCAGACTGTGGGCAGCATAATAGACCAGTTAGGTCAGGCGGGGACTGGCTCCCAGCAGGGTTATTGTGGCAGCTGGAGGCCCCAAGGAGCCTGATAGGCTGTGACTGAACAGAAAAGGTTCTTCTTTTTTTAATCTTTTGTTTTTAAATACTCTTTTTTACACTGTTGTTGGTACTTTTTTTATGCTTAAGTCAGCATTGTCTTCCAGTGTTAAAGGCACCCCTTGCCTCTTCATAGAACTTATGTGTCAAAACAAAGGAATGGGCAGATTGTCCATCCAAGCCAGTTCAATTTGATGTAAATTCATATTGTTTTAATTTTTTATGCAATCTGATGAGTAGATGAGCTCAGATTTAAAATCCTTAAAAGCACGTTTATTGTAACCAGAATTGTTATGTAATTAATACTGCAGTTTTCAATAAAGATTGACTTGTGTTGCATATTCTGATCTTTTCATGGTAGTTTTGTCAGAGGCGAAGGTCTGACTAGCACTTGCTGCCACTTCCCCCAGTGAAGAAGTTCCTAGGGGATTGGGACAAGGCTGTGTGTTCAGCCCTTGAGCGGCTTTGGTGGAGAGTCTTCCTAAGTGCTGTTAGGGGAGGAAGCTTCTGCAGCTCTACAGAAGCCTCCTGTGTCCCTCAGTTTAGCAGGGAAGATACTGAGACCCCAAAATACCGAAATACCACGGACCCCACATCTTAGCCCACGTGTGCAGTTAGCTACTCTGGGAGGTGGAAAGGGAGTCTGTCCACCCACCCTGTACATGGCTCCCTGGCCTGCTTTCTTCCACCCCTCTTTGAGGCCTCTGCAATGGTGACCCTAGCCACCTTAGGCCACTTCTACCAGAAGCCTGAGGCTGTGACCTAGTGAGCAGCACCTCCCCTAGGCTGAGAGCAGAAGAGGAGAGGCGGGGCACCAGCCCCAGGAGGGATGACAGCACACCGAAGAAACTGACACACACCACCAGCTGACCAGCAGCCAGGTTGCTTTTCATTCGTTTCTTTATGAAATTAAATGGGCTTTTGGATTAGAGAAGGTGCAGCGCAAGAGTAACTCCATGCTTCCAAGTCCTGTGGGCTCTGCACCATGTGCAGGCCCGGCCATGTGCCCCACGAGGAGGCCACCCGTGCTGGGCCACAGAGTTCAGTCCTTATGGCTTCTCACACATACTAGGGTAAGGCAATCTTTCTGTGTCATTAACAATTCTCCAGTATTAGAGAAACAACACAACCAAAATCATAATGAACAGGGAGTGGGTGTGGGTGTGTGTGCAGCCACCCCAGCTACAGGGAACTGTCACTAACCCAGAACCAGGTACACAGTTGACTGTATGGTTTTGTTCTCATTATACATGTCACAAGTAAAGAGGGTGTCTGGCAGCCAGCAGTGTATAGAGGGACCAGGAGGCATAAGGACAGCTATAGGTAGAGTTAGGAGTGCTGAATTCCTGGTCCCTGACCTCTCAGGTTGTAAGTGCGCTGGGGGCCTGAACAGACAGATGAAGAGCAGAGGGACACACACCTGCTTTGGCAGGTGGCTCATGGCCACAGAGTTTGGTCTCCTACGCAGAAGAAACAGAAATGGAGATGATAAACTTTCCAAAGAATGTCCAGAGCAGATTAGCCTATGTGCACAGACAGCCTGGCCAGAGGTTCTGAGCCGGGGCGTGCAGGCTTACCATTGATGGAGGCTCATGCGTAGGTCCAGAGTATAGGCAGAGGCTGGTACCTGCACACTAGCCATGGGGAAGGGGCCAGAGATAGGGCCCAGACATCATACAGTGTGACGATGCGCCTGTTCACTTCCAGTTTGTAAAACAGGTAGAGGGCCTGATAGTGTAGGCCTCAGAGAGGAAAGGACGGGTCCACAAAGTGCCGTCAGGTTGTCTGATGGGTGCTGGCTCACTTGCGGAAGGGCGCCAGTCGGCTGATGCTGTGCCAGAAGTTAGACTGCTTCCGCCTGGGCTCTGCTAGTACCAACACCTGCTGCTGGGGCCGGCTGGCAGGCAATGATGGGTGCTTGTGGCGGGTCAGGTATCCTGGCCTGCCCACAGCTGGACAGGGAAAGAGAGACACCAGGGGTCACAAGGATAGAAGACCAAAAGGGGTCTGTTTGTGGGTTCTGCTGTACATCTTTCCATAAATATAGTAGTTTGCCACACAGGACTTGCTTCCCAAGGGGCTAAAACCACAACACACAAAATCCCAAGATATCAATAGTTTTTGGCCTGAGCTTCTGCAGCCTGAGGGCTGGCCAGGGCCACTGTCCAAGGTGTGGAATATCTGCTTCTATCTATGGAGTTGGAGAGATGACTCTCTCACAGGCAGCTGTGACACACCTATTGACAGCCTGGGGAGGTGAACTCTGTAACTCCTGGAAACTCTGTAATGCCAGAGAAGTGAAGCAAAAACTGGCATCTCTGGCCCTTACCACCTTTGAAAACATACACTTGTAAAGGGCAGACAGTAGACATCTCTAAGGAGGCGGGTGGCTGGCTGCCATTGCTTTTGAAGTCAGAGAGGGGAACGCAGTCAAGGCTGGAACTGCCTAGGGAGTAGGATGCTTGCCCGTTTACCTTTAGGCTTGCCCGTGGCCTGCTGCTTGCTGGCGTTCAGCATGGCCTGCTTCCTCTGAAGCTCGGTGATGGAGAAGCCTGGAGGAAGGGCATATGTGAGACCCCACCTTGCCTTCTTCACCTGCTCATGTGCCTCCCTGAAGGGCTTTCTAGTCCAGGCACTATCCTCCTGGCACCCCATTCCTATCACGCTTGAGACAGCCTGGCATGGCAGGGACTTCCCTCGCCTGCTCAGTCATTCTGTCTTGACACAGCCAAGGGAGAGGACGAAGATTCCTGAGCCACCCGTGTGTCCCCTTTGCTTCTCTAATACCTAGCTTCTTTCTCTTCACGCCTGTGGAGGCTCCTAAACCAAAGCATGAAGTTGGTGACAAGGAACAGGAAAGGATGGGAAAGGCTTCTGTAGTACCCACTCCATGTTCTCCAGGGCTTGGTGGGAAGGGGCTGCCCCAGCTCTCAACAGATGGGCACATAGGGTGAAGTACTCCCAACAGACTCAGTCCATGGGGTTGACCACAGGAATGGCCATTTCTACCAGACAGGGGTACTAAGAGGTTTCTGCAGCCTCACTCAGCACTAGGGTGTGGTCTCATTCTCAAGTTGGCCCTGACTACCTGGTATGTGGGGCCCAGTGGCTAGGCAAGGTCCAGCAGGATCTCCCACCTGTCTCCTGGTCCAGCCGCACCTGCTCCCTCTCTCTGGCAAAGGCCTTAAGCCAGCGCTGCTTCTGTTCTGGTTTCCTGGCACACAGTAAGTGGCTGTCCCCCGTGGTACCACAGTACAGACGGAAGGCATTCTTGACGCTCACGTGGAGGTCTCGGTCCTTCCCGTCTTCCACATCTACCACCTCCAGGTCATCCATGTCCAGCCGGCCCTTGTAGTACAGCACGTCCCGGCGGAGCAGATCCTGCCAGATGCCACCCTGAGCCCTGGCTGCCCAGCAGTCATGTCCAGGGTCCATGCCCACCTCCCCTCCAAGCCACAGACTGGCAGGACATTCTAATCTTTTGAAGTGCACATGGTCTGGTGGGCAGAAAGCCTCAGAAACTAAAGCAGCGGTCCATATGGTAGCGGGGAGAGAGCAGAGAGAACAAGGAAGGCTTCATGCATGGGACCAGTGTGCCATGGTTTGAAAGAAGCAGAAGCTAGCAGTAAAGAGGCCAGAGGCTGCTGGGATCAGAGAAATGAGACAGAGAAGCAAAGGCTTGCAGAGGGAGACATGATCTGAGGAGCAGGCAGGGACTGGGTCAGGGAGGGGGGTGTTCTCAACAGTACACTGTTCAAACAGCTACGCCCAGTGTCCCTGGGCTCACCATAGAGAGCCAGTCCTAAGGGCCTTACTGGGGGCTCCTGGAGACACAGAATGACCAAAGGCAGAGTCTGACAGGCTCTTTGCCTCTAGCCAAGAGCCCCAGCCCTTAACTGTGTACTCCATGGACTGGTCTGGCAAGGCAGGGTGGTTCGATACCTTTTTACAATAGATGAGCTGCCGGTCAAAGAGAAAAAACATTCTCTGTTGACTCCTGGCTTGAGGCTGTGTGACACGGGTCAGCTCCCCTGAGTGGATGAGTTCCGAGCTCCTGACCAGGAGGTCTTCCCCCTGAGTGAACCCCAAGGAGAGCCATGAGGTAAGCGTGCCCAACCTTAGGCTCTACCTCCTGCCTCTGTTGGCGAGTGGGTGTCTTCTTGCTATCTCCTGAATTGAGCGAGGTAGGACAAGGTAAGAAAAAACCCAAAGGCAGCCTTACAAGTGTGGATGTGGGAGGAGAGAGGGGGCACCACTGGCCTTCTATGGCTGCCGAGTACTGGGAATTTGATGTCACTGAAGTACACGGTGGTTTTGACAATATATAAAACATTGTCAAAAATGGTTGTTGGTTACATTTGAAATATTTTGATCCATTGAATTAAATAAAATACCAAAGTTCATTTTACTTTTTCATTTTGTGTGGTGTGGTGTGTCCACGTGTTTACATGTGTGTTTACATGTGTGCTTGTATGTATGAGCATGGTGGGGGGACAGGTCAACATCAGGTGTCTTAATGACTTTCCACCTTTTAAAAAAAAACCTTTTATTATTTATTTATTGTGGGAGGGGTGTATGCACACATGCCCCAGCAAGTGTGTGGAGCACAGAGGACCCCTTGCAGGATCCTCTCTTTCCACCAAATGGGTCCTGGAGACTGCCATGCATTTCAACAACCTTGGCAGCGGGTACCTTTACCCGCCAAGGCATCTCACCAAGCCATCTCTACCTTATTTGTTGAGACAAGGTCTTTTCACTGAACTAATAAAATCAGGCTGGGTGACCCAAAAGTATCAGGAATCCTCCTGTCTCTACCATCTAAGACTGAGAGGTGTATCACCACGCCTGGTTTTTTGTTTTGTTTTGTTTTTTTCTTTTTAAATGTGAGTGCTGGGGATCTGAATTCAGGGCCTCTTGCTTGCATGCAGAGCAAGAAGGCACTTTACCTCCTAGGCCCTGAGCCTATTCTTTTCGCTTTGGAAGATGGCTATTAGAAGTACAGAATTCTGGACATGGCTAACACTGTCTTTTAAATGCTTTAGAGAAAAATGAGGCTTGGCAGGAACTTGCTCCTGCAGCTAGATGTATTTAGTACCTGAAACTGATCTGTGGGAGCTGCTGGCAGCCATCCATTTGGGGATGACTGTGCTTTCTAGTCCTTGGCCAGGCATGGACTCAGCCAAGCTGCTGCACTGTCCAGCTTTGCCTACTCAGTGCAAGTAGAGCCTAGGACTCTACTTCTGTCCTTTTCTGTGCCTTATCCTGGCGTTCCTTATGGTCTTATCCTGGCAACTGGCACAGTATACCACAGTTCCATCTGGGTAAGTACAGAAGTGGTG